TAATCCCAGCACTCAGGAGGCAGAGGCAGGTGAATCTCTGTGAGTTTGAGGTAAGCCGGGTCTACAAAGTGAGTTCCAGGATAGCCAGGGCTACACAGAAAAACCTTGTGTCAAAAAACCAAACATCAAAAAAAATCAGAAAAATTCTTTGATTTATTGATTAATTCATTGAGTGTTCAAAAATAAGTGAACTTACATGCATTTGTAGTTTATAAAGCTTTTCCTATTATTGATTTTAATGTTTTCTTTGAACTGTGATTAGAAAATATATGTGATATTTAACTTTTTAAAATTTTGTTGAAAATAACTTGTTGCTTATTACATACCCTATGTTGGAGAATGTTCATGTCAGAGTAAAGGGAAATATTGGGCAGCTGCTTGATGGACTGTTAAGAACTCTTAAGCCCATGTGGTCTAGGGTGTAATTTAATTCTGCTGTTTACTTCTTACCATTATTTGGTGCTCTGAAACTGGGGAACCATCCATCTATCCATCCATCCATCCATCCATCCATCCATCCATCCATCCATCCATCCATCTATCCATCCATCCATCCATCCATCCATAGACTGTAGTTTTGTTTTTGACTGACTCCTTTGTCACTGACTGTGCTTATTTCCCCAGACTGATCTGAGCATGTGGAGGACTGGGTTAGGGTCATCTCCTAGTCTACGGCCACACCACCTGACCACAGTGGATCTTGTCTGAGCTCTGAACCTGGTCAGAGCTGAGCTAGTCACTACTTGTTTTGCTGCTATGCTCCTAAACTCACACTCAGAACTTTTTACAATACTCATATATAAATGTAGTGTAGTGAGCACTATCACTATGTTCCTCAAGAAATTTTACATGCCTTGTCTAAAAGCTTTCATTAACAATGAGGTTGAAATGTTATTTTCACTTTATAATTGAACAAATAGTGACTTGAAAAGGCCAAATACTTGCCCAAATCAATTCAGTTAGTGAGAAACCCAGCATAGTATCGAAGCTAGGCTTACAAAATTCATATATTAAATACTGTCTTATGACAGCTGGGATCCTAATCTGACAGTAGCATGAACTCAGGTGGTGATTGATTACAGAGGAGGAGGGGATGCAGGAGAACTGTAATGGGCAGTGCTAACCAAGGCTTGCAAAAGCAGATTTGCTACCACTCCTGGAGATGAAGCCAGGGGCTCACAGGAGAACTGTGGTGAGAGGCCTTCCAGAGAGAACTGCTGTTTTCAGGAGAGTGACATAGCTGGCCCGAGGTCATTGTTGAGAAAGATCTAGGAGGACAAATATCCTGCTTCCTTCCAACCCATACCTTCTCAGAGCTCCTCACTAATGAACAGCCAGGATTCAGAACTCACAGGCATTTTCCTTTGTGGGCTGGAAAGAGGTGTGAAGAAGGGTAGAGGATTGATCTGCAGTGGGCAGTGGAGTGAAGAGAAGCTATTCAGCATGAGCACAGACACACAGTGGAATTCCAATACCTCAAGCTGACATGCATTTAATTCAGTGCGTGTGGGGGAAGCATCCATACTGCTGTACAGATCTGGGCAGAAGAGATAAATATGAAGCCGTACAGATAAGTATCTGAAGTTGTCTTTTGACCTTTGATGAGAAACGTTACTAAAAATAGATCTTGATCCCAATCTACAACGATCACAAATGAGTTACTGTTATTGGATTGAAGCACTAGGAGCTGTGCATATAATTTGTCTAGTCGTTATGGTCTATAAATGAGTCAGCAAGAAGGATGTAAAGAAAACAAGTAATTGATAGTAGCTGACTTCTAATAAGCAGGACACTAATTTAGAATATGAAGGTACAGAATTATTAAATATCCTATACTGCACGTGAGTATTCATTCTTATATATTTCCTTCAAATTCTGAACTTACATTTATTGGCTTGTACATAAGAGATTTTTAAATGAATGGCTTAATGAAAGAAATAATCTATGTATTGACAGACATGTTTTACTTGTATGGTAAAGTCAGATAAATGACAAATCAATATGATTATGATGTTTGGAAGCAGTTGGCAGTTTAAGGAGTTTTAAATCTTTAAGGTCTACTTGTTAGGAACTTTCTTTCAAGTGGCGAATGTTTTATGAAAACAGAGCCATAGTCTGGTAAAGTGTTGTGTATGAAGTCAGAATAAGCCCACTTTAAAACCAGGACACACAGCAGCATGAGACTCAACAGTCTCCTGCGCTGAGCTAATTAGTAGCAGAGCTTACAGAGTGGTAACATTGTATATTCCTATCGTCCAGCACATTAGGTAAACTGAATCTAGTTTTTCTCATGTTTGAGATGGGTAGAATGAGTCTCCCTTGTTTTAGCTACTTTTCCTATTGCTGTGATTAAAAATAAACCTTGACAGAAGCAATGAAAGAAGAAAGAGTTTTTATTTTGACTCAGCACAGTTCAAGAGTGCATAGTCTATCATGTCACAGGTGGCAGGAGATGGAAACAGCTAGTCACATGAGTATGCAGTCAGGAAACAGACACAGGGAATACAGGATGCTCAGCTTCTTTCTCCACTTAAAGAATCCAGGAGTGGCACACCCAGTGGATGGGCCTTCCAGCCTCAATGCAGACAAGGTAAGGCCCCCTTCCCCTAGTCATGTCTAGAGACCTGTCTTCCAGATGAATCTAGATTCTTTCAGGCTGATAATTAACTCTAACCACCACACTCTGTTAACAGAGCAGTTATGAAAAACAAAAGGAGATAACACATGTATGTACTTACCACAGCACCGCTCATATAAAGACCAGTCCATAAGACTATTGTCACTGCTGGGATTCCTTTCTAAGGTTGTATGTCACCTGGAACCTAGAAGTATGTGATTCTCAATAGTGATATGGATGTATGGAATGGTATGGCACTACTGACTATGTATGTATGCAGCAGTCATACAGTGACATCTTACATCAAAACAATACTACCATGTCTGTAATTATATATGCTGTCACTGACTTGGGATTATGGATTTAAGTGGCCAGCTACTTATTACACTAACTTTCTTGAAAAGGGTGCATTTAGATATTCTGTTACATAGTATATATTACCACAATTTATATGTAAGGTGTGATTTATGACATAATTAGTGAAGATTCAAAGTCAAGGCTGGCCTTCATTCAATGTCAAAAGTAAGTACTGTCCTTATCCCTGCTCTTCTAAAACAACTTTTAGATATTTTAAATATTTTTGTGTATTCATTCATTCGTTTATTCATTGCGTGCGTGTGTGTGTGTGTGTGTGTGTGTGTGTGTGTGTGTGTGTGTGTGTGTGTGTGTGTGTACACATACACATACATGTGGAGGTTGGAGAACCACTTGTGGAAGTCATGTTTCTCCGCCCACCATGTGGGTCCTAGGGATTTACTCAGATTGTCAGTCTTGGAGAAAGTGCCTTTACCCACTGAGCCATCTTGCCTACCAAGTTTTGGAAACTTAAATTGCCTATGACCAAAATTCTTCAAGTTCTCATGTCAGCACATTTTTAATAACCATATTTATGGTTTGTCCCTTCTATAGAGATTTAAAGGAAAATGGATGGGAATACTTTAACCTCCATTCCTAGGCAAATCTCTCAACACACTGCTGACCCTTCTTTGGTCTCCCTTTTCATTCTGCCCGAGGTGCCACAGGATTCATTTGATTGGTAATCTGGGAAAGCTCTGCCTGTGTTCCCCAGGGAGCTAGTAACTGCTGCTTTCCTAGGAATGATTCTTCCTCACTTGAGGGAAAGGGCTTGGATGGGATGGGTTCTGCATTCGCTCAACACAGGAATGTTCTCTACTGACTCTGGGGATGTCATTTGTGACCCTGCTTGACTCTCATATGCTGTAGTCTCCCACACCTTTCTTTATCTCTCTTTCTTTCTTTGAGATAGGATCTCTCTACATAGTCCTGACACTTGCTACACTTGCTATGTAGATAGACCAAGCTGGCCTTGAACTCAGAGATCCATCTGCGGCAACTCCTGAGTGTTGAGATTAAAGGTGTGTGCTGCCACACCAGGCTCCACTTTCTTTCTTCCTCTCTTCCTCTCTTCCTCCCTCCCTCTCTCTCTCTCTCTCTCTCTCTCTCTCTCTCTCTCTCTCTCTCTCTCCCCCCCCTCTGTTTCTTTCTCCCCCCCTCTCTTCCTTCGTCCCTCTCTCTCTCTCTTTCTTTCTTGGTGGTAATTTTTAGCAGTCATATCTACTTTTTATTTTGCAGTTTGCTTAGAATATAGTCAATTCCTCTCTCAATCTGGAGAGGGAGTCCAGCTTTTTGTTTCACATATCTTAAACAGATACCAACCCTTGAGTTTCTAGGTCAACAAAATCTTACCAAAGTCCAACAAATTCCACCTAGGCAGCTTCCAAAGCCTATGTTCTGGCCCTGATTCTCTGATAGGAGAAATTCAGTCTGTATTTTTGAAATTTCAAAAAGCAGCTAGGAAAAAAAAATCCCTGGAAACCTATGCTGTCATATTAATTTATATTTCATTATAACAAAATAATGGAGGTAGCTAACTTTATAAAGAATGGAAGCTTAGTCAGATCACAGTGAGTTGCAAAGGGAGGAAGCCCAAAGGCCTACAGTCGGTGCCCATTGTGGATGGCATTAATGTATATGGAGGTATCAGGAGTCAGTGACTAGGGCCTACAGTCCCTTATAGAGGCAAACCTCCACTGACCAGAGGACTTCCTACTAAGACCCGCCTCTTAAAGGTCCCACCTTTTAATATCCTCAAACTTAGGACTCAGCTCCTAACACAGACTGACAAATAACATCAGCAGCTCCCATCTGGGTTTTTCTAAGCCTCCAACACTCATCCTGATGCTGAAAACTGGAGGTGGGGAGGAAGGAGGCTTCCCTGAGAGACAAATCTAGGAAAGAATACAGACAGATCCATGCAGCTGGGCTTATCTATGACTGACTCTGAAGAAACATATTTACAACAATCTGGACAGTAGGCAGGAGCAGTTCAGAACACATGCAGGGCATTTCTGAGAACACTTACCTCAGCTGTGTGCTTTGCCACGTGCCCCACGATCACAATGACCTTCCCTTTGAAATTCTGAAGCATCATGGTGTAAGGGCCCTGGCTGAGCTCTCCCTCTGCTGTGAACGCAGCGCTGAACGGGATGTTGATGCTGCCTGCGATGTGACCCCGAAGAAAGCTGACCCAGGAGCTAAGGAAAGCAGCTCTTTTTCTTTCTGTTTTTGGAGTCTTGAGTGTCCAAGAGAAACAGAGGTAACTCATTCCTAGACAACAGTACTAAACATTTCCATGTTCACCCGAGTATTTCATCTAAACAAAGTAAGATCCTCTAAGGAGGAAGAAAATGAAATTGGAAAATGAAAAGAGAAAGGAAGAGCAGCTTGAGATGTACTTATCAGTGGAATCTGAAAGTGCCCTGACCCAGTGAAGTCACAGTCACCGACAGGCTGCAGTCTGTGTGCCATCAAGTTCTCAGCACACCAGGGGTTCTTTAAAGGAGATGCACCAGCAAGTGGACTGTCTCAGGGCAAATCTAATACTGAAAATACTGGCAAAGTAGATGCTAAGTCAAACTCCACTTGGAACTGGTAGAGGCCATCAGCCCCAGCTGGAAACTGTTCTGCTGCAGGTTAATGTGTCCAGCAAACTGAGCCGACAGATCCATTATTCTGATTTTATAGCATCCAAAAGGGGCCATGTCTGATGGTTCTTCTACTTTAGGAGAATTCTATGGTCTAATTGACTATTACTGTTAGTTTAGAAAACAAAGACATCCATTAACCTACAATACTAAGAAATGACATAAGATCTTAAACATATACTTTTAATTACTTAGTGAAGGATATAATTGGATGAATAAAAATAGAACTTTGGAAATTGAAAAGATACGGCTTCACATAGAAAACCATAGAGGAGATGTATGAGATGTTGTAACAGACTGCATCAACTTGGGAGGACAGGGAAGGGGTTTCACTGATGAAATGATGGCAAGGTCAAACCCGGAAGAATAAAAGTTAAGACAAAGGAATGGAATGGAGGAGGGGATGAAAGTTTAGGCAGTGGGGAAGCATATGCCCAGTTAAGGGCAAGAAAGGACAATGCTGTGGAATTTAGAACATAAGATAAAAAGGGAGGTAGAGGCTAGACTGTGCCTGGTGTTGTTTATGATAATGATCTTTACTCTGCTAATAAGGAAAGTCAAGTATTTTAAGCAGAAAACCAGCACACTGGATTTGCACTTGAGCACCACTGTGGGGAAAGCTCAAAGGAAAGTGAATGCTCATCCAGTCCAGTTGAGGTCTTACCTCCACTCTTAGGAATCACGGACCACGAAGGGCTGTTTAGGTGTTCAATAGAGCCCCTGCCCAAACTTCCACATGAGAGACTTAAGAAAAGTGATAGTTTTAAAGGTTATGAAACAAACAAGTTATGTTTTCACTCTAAATGTCTCACCACAGAAGGGAAAATATTCTAACTACACACTGAAGTGACAGTTGTCCCAGTCTGTAAGCTCGTCCTCTATTATTCTTTCTCTCTCCAGCTCATTAGTGGAAAGAGGCGGGATCCCATGCTTCTACTTTCTAGAACAGGTGGGTAGAAGGAAGAAAAAAAATTTAACACTAATAATAAAATAATCAAGTACATTCTGAAAAAACGATGAGAGATAAAATCCACACTGGAATTGCATTGGACATTGTTTATAGAATTCCAGAATGGGGACACTCTTCATAAGCACAGGTAGAGTCCCCTTCAACTTTTGACGTGTGTCATCAATACCTGGCTGGTCTTAGTTTCTCGAACATAATTAATTAGTCAATAATCTCAATCGCAGTCTTCATGAACAATGGGGACTTTTAAGAATAAGAACCCCGATAGCTGGGCGGTGGTGGCGCACGCCTTTAATCCCAGCACTCGGGAGGCAGAGCCAGGCGGATCTCTGTGAGTTCGAGGCCAGCCTGGGCTACCAAGTGAGTTCCAGGAGAGGAGCAAAGCTACACGGAGAAACCCTGTCTCGAAAAACCAAAAAAAAAAAAAAGAATAAGAACCCCGAAAATACTTGAAAATAATTAAGCAATTTTGTTTTTAGTCAAGATAACTTAAAGGTGAAATTATTTAATACGAACTAAGAGTCCAACTGTTCATTTCTCCTCAGCAGGCCTGAATCAGCTGCCAGAAAGAACTGTTCCTCAGACAGCATGTGTGGACTGCGAATAGCTTTCCTTTGGTGGCTTTACAGCAGCAGAGCAATGCAAACGGTCCTAGTCAAGTGCTGGGAGGACATGTCCACACAGCCACCTGGTCCTTCTTCTTGTTTGGACAGCCCAGACACTGCCCTTGGTGAAAGCCTGACCCTTGACCAGGGTGTTTATCCTACCATACCATGTCATGGCTGGTGGAGAGGAGCATGTGGAGGGTAGAGCTAGGTACCTGATGCAAACTAGGCCAATCTTATTTTCCCTCTCAAAAATGAGAAACAAAAAACAATGCTTACATATGTTAAGGTTTTTGAACATAAAATCCCATTTGAATGCCTCTATATAGAATGTTAACCACATAACAGAAAATCAGAATCTCAGACTCCAGAAGAAAAACTGCTTAAAGTTACATTCTCTGAATACTTGGTTTTAAAAAGTAAGTTGCCTGCATGTAAATATCCAATAACCTTAACTAAAATCACAGATACATCTGGGTAATTTTTACATGCTACTTAGTATGTACTTTTAAAGGAGACTTGTCTATACTGCATTTTTATCACGAAAAGCATGTTATTAACTTGTTATTTCCCCAGAATTTTCTGTTAGTTATGCTTTATGGTTTGATTTTTTTTTAAAAGTGGAGATTAAATGTCAGAATGTTTGACACAATATGAAAATAAGAGTTTTGGAGAGGAGGAAAGTTCTGTCCAAACCCCACTGTACTCTGGAAGACAAAACATCAAGGAGCAGAGCCTTAGCCCACAGTCCCCCTGCAGTATGGTCCTGGAAACCATCTAAGAACACCCTTCCCAGACACTCTTTGTCAAGAAGCAGAGACTGAGTAAGCGCAGATGTTTGGACACACAAGGCTGGCAAGCTCTCCATCTTCCACCCACAACTGCATTATTGGCAAACAGCAGAGGAGGCCGGGCCGGCCTAGTTATAGATGAGTGCATTTACAACAAGCAGCCTCTTTTGTTTTAGTACATTTGACAATGAAGGAACCAAGTTTAGTTACTTAAGGACCTTCTGTCCTTGGTAATTACGTTTCATTGCTCACAGCACAAATCCTTATATGGCTGACATTAAGATGAAGTAGAATGACTCTTTCCTTTCCCTCTGGCAGACACCCCTGCCTAACCACAGGCCACACCTGCCAGAAGAGCAGGTAGGCTGCCCACCTGTGTACGTCCTCTACTTGGTGTGCCCCCGACCCCCGACACTTTCCCCAATCCCCTCTCCCCTTTCAGTCACTGTGTTCCAATCCTCAACTCCAGGGCTGACTCCTTGCTGGACCAGAGACCACACCTGCAGCCAGAACTCCAGGGAGGCCACCTGCCCTCGGGCCTCCTCCACTCTCTTGATGCCCCACACCCTCGACTCTATCTCCAAGCCTGTTTGTGGTGATATATTGTGTACCCCAATATATTGTGTACTCTAATAAACTTATCTGGGGATCAGAGGATAGAGCCAGCCACTAGATTAGACATAGAGGGAAAGACAGTGGTGGCACACACCCTTAATCCTATCACTCGGGAGGCAGAGATCCATCTGGATCTCTGTGAGTTCAAGGCCACACTGGAAACAGAGCCAAGTGTGGTGGTGGGATGCGTCTTTAATCCCAGCACTAGGAAGGAAGTAAGATGGCAGGGCATAGAAAGGTGTGAATAAACAGGAAGTCTTGCTCTGGAGGCTGAGGAGTTGGTAAGGTGAGGTTGGCTGTAGCTTGTTCTGTTTCTCATGTTTCAGTTTTTACCCCAATATCTGGCTCTGGGTGTTTTTTTTTTTTTTAATTTTATTAATAAGTCCTTTTAAGATTTGTGTTACACCTGTCTCCCCTTCTTGTCCCTGTGTCCCAGCTGCCAATTTGGGTGGAGACTCCCTGCTGGATCAGGCCCATGCAGGCTACCAGAACTCTAGGTAGTCCACCCATCAGCAGACCTCCTCAACTCTCTCAGTACCCCCTCCCATCTGACACTATTCCCAATCTCCCTTGCTTGTTGATGTGTTTCATCCCCCAACTCAGGTATTGAACCCCCTTTGCTCAAACACAGGCTACACGGGTCAGAGAGGAAACATAAACTAAGGAACAAAATACCCACCCAACAAAGACAAACCCAGAAATCAGCACATAGACATATAATCACCCCAAACTCAGATGCCTAGATGCCAGAGTAAGAAAACAATCAAAACAGCCAGGGCAGTATGGAATCAGCAGAGCCCAGCTATTCTACTACAGTAAGTCCTGAGAATTCCAACACAGCTGAAGCATAAGAAAAACATCTTAATCAACTTTATCAAGATGATAGAGGTCCTTAAAGAAGTGAATATGTCCCTTAAAGAAATCAAGGAAAAGACAAACAAAAATTTGGAGGAAATGAATAAATCTCTTGAAGAAAGCCAAGAAAAAAATGAACAAACAGTTGAAGAAAATGAATAAAACTGTTCAAGATCTGAAAATGGAAATAGAAGCACTAAAGAAAGCACAAACTGTAGATGAATTTCTAAATGGTCTTATTAAATAAAAAACATGGAGCCAAATATAGGGGTGAAAGCCTTAGAGATCAAGGAAATAGGAATAGCCACCAGCCAACCTTACCTCACTACGCAGCTTCCAAAGTGAGCTACTTCCTGTCTATCCACACCTTTATTGCCCTGCTGTTTTGCCCTTTCATTGGCTCTTAGCCTAGCTACCTCACTTCCTTGTCACTTTCTGTCTGTCTGTACAGACCTCCAGGTCTCTATGGTGGGTACTGGGATTAAAGGTGTGTGTCACCACTCTTGGCTCTGTTCCCTAGTACGGCTTTGAACACACAGAGACCCTGTCTGCCAAGTGATCAGATTAAGGGCATGTGCTATCACTGCCTGACTTTGGTATTTACTTAAAATGGCTTGCTATTTCCTCTGATCTCTAGGCAAACTTTATTTATTAACATACAAATAAAATATCACCACATTTCAGCACAAATAAAATATCACCACA